CCCCCCCCCCCCCTTCACATCAGAACCCCCCTCTTTCACATCAGAGTCCCAACTTTCATATCAGATTCTCCCCTTCACATCAACGTCCACCTCTTTCACATCAGAGTCCCCCCTTCAGATCAATGTCCCTCTCTTTCACATTAGAGTCTCCCATTCACATCACAATCCCCCTTCACATCAGGAGCCCTCTTCACATCAGAAGCCCCTCTTCACATCAGAGTTCCCTATTTATATCATAGCCCCCTTTCATATACAGAGCCATATCCAGAGCCTTTTTTTCCATCAGAGCTCCCCCTTCACATCCGGAGCCCCCTTCACATCAGAGTTCTACCACCACAACATTTTTAGGCACCGTTGAAGAAGCCAGAAGGCACCCTGGTTGAGAAAGGCTGACCTAATGCACATCCAGAGGGAAGTTCAAAGGCAAGCCACCATCATGACAAAAGGCTCTTGGTGCAACATTGTTTCTGTAATCTTTGAGTTGACTCTGAGCAAGCATGTGGCCAGTGAAGGCAGAACTCCCCACCTGTGCACTTGTTCTAGTTCAATGACTGAGGAAATACTGAAGCCACTGGAGCATTAGAGACGGGTAACAGGCATTATCAGTAGGAGGTCAGCGTTGACAGGCAATGTATTCCTTCTAATACAGGTTTCCTCTAAGGAAGATAGAAGTCCTGTAGGCGAGATGTTCTACACAATGTATTACAATCGTACATCTGAATCCTCTTCATTTTGCGAGCTGTATGTTTTCATTGTATGACATTTTTCCCATTATCTCTGCACAGGAAAATATTTATTTGCATGATGTTTTTGGAGGCGACGTGACCTGATATTCTCCAACTCCTTTTCTTTTGCAGATTGTGGCACAAGCTGTGTTGTTTATGTGTATGAACACGGCCGGAATCTTCATTAGCTACCTGTCAGATCGGGCTCAGCGACAAGCCTTTCTCGAGACCAGAAGATGCGTCGAAGCCAGGCTGAGACTTGAGACTGAGAACCAGAGACAGGTAGGAGACTCCCCAACTCCCAAAATGTTCTTCATCCCAGTGCTTTTGAACTGAAAAGCTGAAATACTTAGATGTGAGCTGTACTAAAAAAAACTTGGAATTCTGTCGGTGACTTCACGCTTCTACATTATGGTTAAGCCATACAGTTTGGTCACCGACCTGCCCCACTAGGCTACATATTGGACAGTAAAAGAAATAAAACCACACAAATAAGGTCATTGTTTTTAGGGAAGAGTGGTCACAATTTTGCAGAATTGATTCCTCCTTTAGGGAAATTTCACTTCAGGTTGATGCATTTTTTCAGAATTTGAGGAAAAACCTTAATTTTGCCCATCCCTTCAGGCATTAGCTTTTTTGGCAGGGGTGTCCTTAACATAAGCATTACATGAGGGGGAGTGCTGGTGGGCTTGTTTCAGAAAAAGGGGGTTAGGGTTTGCTGGGCATTGATGGGGTGCTAGTGGTGCACACTAACGATGCTGTGGCTGGCATTCTGGCGGTGCACCACCCAGCTCTGGCCAGCATCCTGTTCAGCTCAATGACATCACTGGTTGCCAAGAGCTGGGTGGGACGCTGGCCCAAGCATGACAGGTTGCTAAAAGCTGGGCGCGGAGATGTGTAGGGCCCTTATACATCTCCTCGCCTTGCTCTTAGCAACCTGGGATGCTCTGGCTCCTGGTGACCTAAAGAGATGCCCTCTGAGGCAATAGTCTTAGGCTGCCTCAGACTACCTGATTTTTGGTCAAAATATTTTTCAATGTCAATGGCAGACAAAAAAAAGTTTCAAAAAGTTTAAAATTGGTGACAGGTTCTCTTTATAGTACAACACCACTTTGCACTGTTGCTTCAAAACTTTCCACAATTGACACTTTTAGTTGTTCGGTTGATACAGATATGGAAAATAAGCAGTTTTTTGGAGTTTATTCCTTACATGTAGCCTTACCCTAAAAACACTCCCTTAAAAAGACAAGAGTGGGCTCCCAAGCCTGAAGTAATGTCTTTTCTTTTTGTTTGCTACTCATATTAAATACAAATCTTGACAGCTCATGAGAGCTACCATGCCAACAAGAGAGCGTTGTGTGCCCCCAGTAAGCCCCTTCCAAATCACAGGTGTTTCTATGGAGACGGGTCTCCTGGGATTGCCATGGTGATGGCATTTATAGAACACACGAAGGAGCCAAAAAAAGCCTGGATGTGCGGAGAGTGTCCGTTTCAGTCACAGTTTCCAAGAGGTAACCGTGCCGTGCGGCTTGTGACGTCAGGAACCAACGTGAAGTTTCCCACGTAGTTATCTTCAAACTCCCTCTTCAACACCACGGAGGGAGTAAAAGTGAAGGCCCTTAGCGAACCTGCCAAGACTAAACTGCCTAAACTTAGTAGCATCCGGACTACCAAGGATTTGAGGAAACTTCTCTGTGTCTGGACTACTAGGAAGAGGAGAAAACATCTCTGCGTCCTGACTTCCAAGGACTTGAGGACAGCTCTCTGTCTGGAATACCAGGCACCAGGAAAGTCCTCTGTGTCCAGACTGCCGGGGACATTAGGAAAGTCCTCTGTGTCCAGACTGCCGGGGACATGAGGAAATTTGAGGAAACCTCTTTGTTGCTGGACTGTCAAGGACATGAGGAAACTTCTCAGTGTCTTAACTAACAAGAACAAGAGGAAACTCCTCTGTGTCCGGGCTGCCAGCACATGAGGAAAGTCCTCTTTGTCCAGATTGCCAGGGACTTGTGTGAACACCTCTGTTTCTGGTCTGCCTGGGGAATGAGTAAACTCTTCTAGGTCCATATTGCCAGGGGCATGAGGGAACTCTTCTAGGTCTATATTGTCAGAGGCATGAGGAAGCTCTTCTAGGTCCATATTGCCAGGGGCATGAGGAAACTCCCCTAGGTCCATATTGCCAGGGGCATGGGGAAACTCTTCTAGGTTCATATTGCCAGTTGCATGAGGAAGCTCTTCTATGTCCATTTTGCCAGGGGAATCAGGAAGCTCTTCTAGGTCCATATTTCCAGGGGCATGAGGAAACTCTGTTTCTAGACTGCCAGTACATGAGGAAACTCCTGTGTCCGGATTGCAAAGGACATGGGTGAACACTCCACTTTGGGACAGGACTTAACTCTTCTTTGTCTGGACTACCAGGGCTTTGCCTAATCTCCTCTGGGTCCCAGTGGACCTCCAGGAACATGCTTGAAGACCTCTGATCTCCATGGGACAGCCAGGGACATGCATCGACTCCTCTATATCCCCACTGCCCAAAAGATGCTTAGGCACTCGAAGTGGAGGATCCTTGTTACTAAAAAATTATAGCCAATAATGTTTATTTAGTTTTGGATAGAGTAGGGAAGGATTAGACCCTCTGTCAAGTTTTTATTGTTCAGGAAGTAGAGGAAAGATCTGGGGCGCTGGATCTCTTGGAGCAGAAGGTGATCTAATTCAGGTCTTAAACACTATAGCAACCTGGGAATGATTCCGGCAGCTCTCCCAGGGGTGGTTGCTGAAGGTCGGCCCTTAGCTTGACTAGGGACTGAGCGTGCAAAAAGGAAAGTGCCACAAGTGGAACTAATAAAGTCCACATTTTATTTTAAAGCTTAGCCGGCATCTGGAGCTATCATACTTACTATCCTTCAGGACCCCTCCAGTTCTAGGGGTCTCCTGGGCTGTGATGTATGGCAGAGCTGTGTGAATCTCAGGACTGTGTTAAAGTAAACACAGTTCCTCAGATCCCTCAGCAGGTACAACAGCTTTGGTATATGCATGTTATCTGTGTATATAGCCGTTTGCCTGGATTTCAGCTTCAACAATGCTCAGCCTGGCGTTGTTCTGCACATTTTTGGGTGAATGCAGGATGCTGCTCCAGGCGACCATTATGGAATGGTTAATGCAGGGTAATGAATCACATGGATATGGATAATGGCACAGCATGGCGGTATAATAATCCCCCTGCTGTAGTGGTGAGCTGAAATGAAATCAGGGATTTTTTTATTCTTATCGCCGAAGCCTATTTTCCTGCCATCACCTTCCTTCCCGGTGACATTATTCCCAGTGCAGAAAATAAATGGGCTCCTTCTCGCTGTAGTCATTTACTCTGAGAGCGTCAGGGGTCGCGCATTTCCCCAGGCAATCTAACAATGATTATTCTCGTTGAAGTTGTTGAGCGACTGAAGATGAAGGAATGTGTAAAGTCTTGTGTATAAACAGGAAGATGACTACGAGGTAACGTGGGAGGCTGATCAGCGGGGACTCACTCCGCTCACGTATGAAAACTTTGCATGTAGGCGCAGTCTATGCCTGCTCTGGTCCCCATCTTTGTTCACGTGACTACCTAGGTCACTGAGCATTTTCATTCCCCTGAAATTTTGGCTGTAATCGGGTGCTTTTTGGTACATGGTTACCATTTCGGCAAATGTGGTGTCAATGAGAAAGTCAAATTTAAAAATTTAACCACATGAGTATCAACAGGGCCGCCCTATAATGAGGCAGCCTCAGGTGGCATCTCATTGGGGGGTGGCAGGTGTGTGTGTGTGTACCGTAATGCTCTCTCTGGCGCCCTGCCCATATCACTAAATAGCGTCAGTGAATCACCTGCACTCCCTACAGCGTTATAACCATGAGAGATATCTGTAGGTGCTTGAAGTGACGACATGGATGGCGCCATGCCACAGTCCAATCAATGATAGAAGTCACCAGCACTCATTTGATAATGTGCAAAAAGTATAAGCACTTTTATTGATACGTCACATGCGTCATAGAGCCAACGCAGGGTCCCTTCCTCAGGGCGACATTGTGACCTGAGGATCTGTCACATATCACTGATGCCACCGGTTGCCAGAAACTGAGCGGGACATGCTGGCTGGCATCCCTCCAAGCTCATTGCAACCAATGACATCAGTGAGCTGGGCAGGATGCCGGAAATTGTCGCTGACAGCTTGGCTCTGAACGCAACCCCGACGAATGACCACTGAGAGCACCCTCCTGGGCACAATTCACTGAATGGCATAATTAAAAGAACATCTCTGTCCCCTTGGGGGGATTTCCTTCACTTCCTGACTTGTTGGCACAACAGGAAGTGAGATGAGATCTCTACAACGTGAGGAAAATTCCCTCTCGGCCAGTTGTACTCAGAACAAGTGTCCCCATTGAAGGATTTCCCCTCCATTCCCCTTCTGGGGATTTTCCTTCACTTTCATCTAATTAATTTTGGATTGCCTTTGTTGTGTCTTTTAGGAAAGGCTCGTCCTCTCTGTATTACCTCGCTTTGTTGTACTTGAAATGATCAACGACATGACCAATGTAGAAGACGAACATCTGCAGCACCAGTTTCACAAGATTTACATCCATCGCTATGAAAATGTCAGGTAAGAGGGCGTGCTGGCTACTGGCGCTTTACAACTCGCTCCCCCTAAAGCTGAGTTTTTGAAAAAACATGTTTTATTTTGTTCAGCACTAAACAAAAACAACGTTTCTTCCCCATTTCTATCAGGTAAATATGACATTTTATGTAACGATTTTCAAAGCTGTTTTTGTATATTTATTAAAAAGAAGGATTCTCGTGATATAAAGAATTACTTTCGGTCTGTACAGACCAAGAAACAAGACAAAAGAGTAATGAAGTCATGATTCCTAGTGAGGCTTCTGACTCCTCTAAACTTCCCATGCACATATGTCCACCTAGAAATCATAGATAGATAGATAGATAGATAGATAGATAGATAGATAGATAGATAGATGAGAGGTAAATGAGAGATAGATAGATAGATGAGAGGTAAATGAGAGATAGATAGGTTTTGATGTGCTGACATTGTACAGCAGATAGAAGTTCAGTCATTGCGGGGTGGGTGTCACTGTTGCTCTCTCCCGGGTGTGTTACATTAATTATAATGGTGGATAATGGAATCCTCGGGTGACTTCAGGTTACTATGTTACCATACCATAAATAAGCAGGTTCCAATATGTCACCAGCTTGCGGTGTGGGACATGATGACAGCTTATCGCTCTCTCCTGGGTCTCACCTTCTGTTCCCTCTCTGGATTCCTTCCATTTAAAGGATTGCGGCTGCTGGAATCCCGGGGGAAGAACTCATAAGTTCAGATATAATCATCTCTTCTCCCTGGTTGAACATCGTGTCGTTCCTGCTTTGTGGCACGTTAAATAAAAACCTGAAACTTGCGCTGAGTGCCAAGTTCTTCTTCCCGTTACTTGCCTGGCTGTCATGCTGATCCTCTTGCTTCGTTGCTTTGTAAGTCACTGTGTTAGAACCAGTGAGCAGATCAGGAGTATCAATTTCAGATCTGCTTGCTTGTTCCAGGTCAATGACTCTGATAGGACCGGGGCCAGAAAACAGTCAACTAGTATTTTTAGAAGCGCTAAGAACTAATACAGCAAATTATTCATCTGAATCGCCCAACTCAATATGGCCGCAAGCGACAGCCATATTGAGTGGGGCAACTCAGAGTAATAATGTGCTGAATTAGTCTGACCCTAGTTCATTTTAATACTTTATTGCTGTGTAGTATCTGTATAGGGAAATGCCACGGTTGGCGCACATGCAGTACAGCTATCTCGGCCAAACCTCTTACTTCTAAGTAAACTAGAAGTCAGATGGTTGGAGATCTCGAGGAGTTGGAGCTTTCGATAGAACGCCGGCAATGACAGCCTACAGTGCAGAGTCCCTTTAAATATTTTGTTTCTGACTTTTGGAATTTGGAATGACGCCAATGGAGCAGGTCTACGTCTGCATCAGCCAGTCAACTAGTATTTTCAGAAGCAGGCCGGTAATGGCAGCCTACATATATCTTTCAGTGCTGATCTCCTTAAAATATTTTGCTTCTGACATCTTGCGAATTGCCCGCCGCCGTCCTTAATGTTCGGTTCCAGTCCCCCGGTTTGTAGATTCGTCCGTGGCAACGTCCTTGGTTTTCTGTACTGACCAAAAGCCATAAAATCTCTCTTTTCTATTTGAGAATGAATCCCTCTCTTCTCTCTTTGCTTCTGCGCTTTTCAAGTTACTATTGATCAAAGATGAGCTTTTAAAGCTCAAAATATTGTTAATATTCCAATTGAATAAACAAGTTTTCATTTGGGTTTTACAGCAATTTGCAATCCTCAGAAGACACTCTGTGTGTGATCAGATGAGATGCAGCAATGTTTCAGTGTTTCTGAAAATCATTTTAAAAATATTGCCAACCGGGTCTGATTTCCAGCCCGGGCCTTTAAAGGGAAGTGCCATTGTTATCATTGGATTCTGAAAATGCTAGTTGCCTTGATGACATGGTTTTCGGCTTCAATACATTTATTATTATAGTATCCAATAATAATACATTTCTAATGTGCAGACTTGTTCCATATGGTTTTCCCCCAAAAGAATTTATTTAAAAAAACTGTTACTGTTTCTAATGTTGGGTTATAATGTGTTTGCCTCCATTTAAAACTACTTGTCCAAAAAAAACTATATAAGGATGACAACGCTGCTGTGGGAATTTACTGAAGTGCTGTCACCCTATTAGAGGAAATTAAAAACATAACAGATTTACTTGTAGGATCAACTATTTTAAGTGGGGATTCAGAAAACATAATCAGATGTGTTAAAGAGGACCATCCACCTATATGTTGAAAACATTAACAGGCCACAGCAATAGTGATTTATGTAGTATAAGATTAATATACATACTCTGTAGCCCAAAGCCCAAAGCCCAAATCCTTATGTCTCTTTTTTAACTTGCTCCTTATTTCTGTCCCGCCATCTTATATCTGAAGCCAACAGTTACTTCCTAACTTTCACAGTCGGCCGCAGGTGGCGTGCCACCAGGTCTCGCGCATGCGCAAATGGAGAGCTAGATGGCCATAATTGTATTACAACCTAGTTGGTTGCTATGGTGACTGCAACTTCATGTTGCTTGTTGACTCTATAGCAACAAGTACTCAAGCCATAGCATAGAAGAACAAGTAAACATTGTTCTAGAAATCTCTGCTTACGGAAATGTTAAACAAAATGTTAAAAGATTAATACGACTTTCGGGTCTATTCACTAAGCTGCCGAGGGCAGCCGAGTGAACAACCAACCAACACTGTTTGGCTATTCACTTCAGGCTGGTACGGCTGATTTCCAACATCTGGATCGGCTGAGCCGAACCTCCGGCAGGCTACTCACTGATGTTCGGCCTATTCTTAGAGATGCTGAACAGCAGTGAGTGAATAGCCGAATGCCGCTGAGCCTCAGAGGGACCGAGCAGAACAGAAAAATAGTTTAAAAAAAGAAAGTAAATAGAAAACGATTGTGCGGAGCTAGCAGTGACAGCTAGCTCCGCCCAATAGTTTCCTATTGTCCGGCGGCTCTGCTGCCATCAAAAAAAAAAGGAAGAAAAAACTCTCCCGGGCGCTCTGGGTGTCTCCCGCTCCCGGCCGCCCAGGAGAGATTCTGACGTGTCTTTATTCTGACACGGAGCGATGTCAGAAAAAAAAAAGAAATTCCCATTGGAATGCATTGCTACATTCCTATTGGCTATTTCAATTTGCAATAGCCAATAGTAAACTAGCATTGTACCCGCCCTCTGCTGCAGTACTGGGGCCGACAATGCTATAGAGCCACAGTTCAAATGGTTCCTCCCACACAGCGTTGTGGGGACCCGGAAGTGCACCGCACCATTGTCTCAGCACGACTCATGTTTATATCGCTTCATTCCTTGATTGTACATGTGCCTGAATAGTCAAAATGAGCTCAGGTACCCCTCTGGACGGCACATTTTCCAGTTTAGACTTCACTACCCCAGCAAGGCCCGATATTCACTTCATTCTTAGACAGCGGAGATGAGTGACAGTCACACAGCCGGATAAATCAATTTGGGGAATAGGTATTTACAAGGATCCTTTCAGCAATTAGCTACTAGGAAGTGCAAGAGTACTCACAGCAGTGCTAAAAACTAAGTTGAGGTAATCTTGCCTTTCCATTTACGTTAAGCTTTTACCCTTTTGCTGCCAGAGCCATTGTTCGCATGCATGTTAAATGCACGTTAGGCCTAAAGATTACTTAAAATCCCCCAAATCATATATATTTCTGAAAGCAGAGACTGTGTAGAATAAAATAATGGCAGCTGCAATTTTTTTTGTAAACTGTATTAAAATGAAATTTAGTGCATACAAACACAATATAGTACCCAGTTTTTGGGGGGCAAGATATAAAAGATGTGGTCGCATCGAGTAAATAAATACCAAACATGTCAGGATTTAAATTTGTGTGCTACAATGAGATGGCAGAAAACTTCAGTACTCAAAATTGCCAATAGGTGAAATAGAGGTAACCATGAATGATGGCCCATGCACATGTGTACTTTTCTGTGTGCACATCAGGATCCAGATCTGAACCCAGTGCCTCTGCTGTGTCTGGTGGTGGCTCTACCTGCTGAGCCACTCTGAAACCTTGGATAGTTCCTTGCCTGATCTTCTGTGTGGTCCCCAGGTAAACCTAGTTTTCTGCTAAACTCCTTGCTCCTCCCTTGAACTTCCTATTTTAGCCGTGCCTCTGCACTTCCTGTTTGCCAGATTATTGTTCTCCTGCCAATATCTTGCTTCCTGCTCCCTCTGTGATACAATCCTCTCATACTGCTACCCATGTACCGGCCTGTGGCTGCTGATCCACCGACTACTCTCATCGTCTTCTGCTGATACCTTTGGCTACTGACCTTGGCTTGCTCGCTGACTACGCTTCTGCCTGCTCCTTTACTACTATCGTCTGCTTGTGTACCAAACCCGGCCTGTTATACCACGAATTTGCCCGCTGTTTCAGCTACTGGACTTTGAGCCTGATCCCAGATCGTGACAGTGCAGGGGGGCTTTAAAACATTTTAGGGGGGTTAATTTTTATTTTAAATACGCCTTTCATAACACTTTCCTCTTTACTTTTGTTGCCCATGCTACCTTTGCACTCCAATGAGGCTAATCAAGCACAGATTTTGCTTGACTAGCTTCTTCCACAGCAGCCTGGGAATGACAGCACTGAAACCCAAGTGACAAAACACTCGCACTTCTGGCTTCATTCAATGCATGGAAGATCAGCAAATGGACATTCTCTGATTGCCCGCCTCTCTCCTCGCTGACACACCCGCCATGGATGTCGCAGGCACCCAGGAGGAGCAATGATGTCAAGGATACATAACTTGAGGGAAGAGGAAATTACCCATTACTGCACCCATTAGAAAGCTGATAGCCTTCTGGACAAATGTAAACTGAAGTGGATGGGGGTCTGTTTACAGGGCTGTTCTGCCAGCAACATAAGCCTTGTGCCGTTAAGCGAGCCAGTTCCTCTGCTGCCTCTGCTTCTAAAAACTGAGAATTAACATTCACTACTAGAACGAACGTAGAGGAGAAAGAAGGAATTGGGAGGGTGGATAAGCAGAAAATAGTTACCAAAAAAAGAATGAATACGGAAAAAGAAATTCATTACATGTTTGTAATGTAAAGTTGGAGCAAAGTTGGAAATGATGTGAAAGGTCCTCTTTAATGTTAATGACAGACCGCATCACACATGTCATGGGTAATTTTGCCCATAATTCCACATTAACGTTTGTTCTACTAGATGCATTATATCATTGATCCTATAGAGCTTTGCATTTCCATCCGCGTCAGTGTCTACGTTGATGATATAGGCAGACCTCCCGCTCTGGAAGACGCATGGTAAAGCAGCATTATATATATGTTGTGGATAAGCCGCTTGATTTCGCTGCTAAATCCGGCTGCTGAAAACAGGCTATTTTTATGCTCTCCTGGCTGATGCAGAAACAGATGGGAATGTAAAAGGATTGTGCCTTCTTCTTTCAGTTATTGGAAAGAGGCACACATGAAATGACAGTCTATTTTTATATAGTGTCATTATACATCTCTTTAACTCTTTACGGCTCATTAAGCAAAGAGCGTGGAAATTGCTGTGACCCCAAGTAACCAATGAGAAATTACCTGCCGCTGATCGCACTGATGATGTGAAATCTGATTGGGTTGATCCATGGCCTGGCTTATTTATCTGTCATGCTGAGCCTGATAAAGGGACCCCCTTGCGGCCTCGAAACGTTGCTATCATTGTGACTATATGCGTTAATAAAAAACATCTGTTTGACCCATCTCTTCAGTGTGCTGGTGACATTTTACTTCTCCAAGACTCTTTAAGGGTGTGCATCAATGCATAAAAAAAGCATGTTAAAGCTGATGTAAAGTCCCAGCATATCCTCTCCTGTTATAACATCAGCATTGTAATAGGAGTACATAGTAGAGTTGTTTCTGATAATAAAATCAAAGGTTACTTGAAAACATCCCTTTCATGTAGTGAGCGCTGCCTTCCGTCTGCCCATCACTTCCAACAACTATCTGGATTCCCAGTGTGCTTTGCCTCTCTTTCCCTGCTGCTTGATGTGATGAAATCTCGATTTCTCGAGACCACATATCCCATCATGCATTGCTTCCAGCAAGCAATGATGATGTTACATTGTTCAGACATTAAGTTGTAGTTCAGAAGGCAGGCTCTGTGAGCGTGGTGACACAAGGAAATGCGTATTCACAGGACTCAGTGAAATGGTGTCAGTGCATTGAGGAAGTACATCCTATGGGCATCTTCAATATGTTACCAAACGTCTAGATGGATATGGTTATTAGGAGTGGGATAGAACTTATGGAAATTCCATACAGAAAAACATATTTATTTCTAGTTTTTGACCACAGATAACCGTTAATTCTTATTTTAATGAAAACTTAACTGAATTCATTTGTGTGCTGTCTCCCTCCTATAAAGCTCTTATACGGCGCTATATAATCCTGAATAATAATAATATTATTAAAATATATACACTGAGTGGCCATTTTATTATGACCACCTGACGTGTGTAGGCAAATTAGCTATAATTAGCTATAATTTCGCGCTGAAGTTGCTAGAGGGCCAGACCATTAATTAATAATTAGTATTTCCTAAATCTATACCTGGAATAAATATAAGCATATCCAGCATTAAAAAACAATCTTTGTACACAAACCTTAGAGAGGCTTATGTCCTCTACCCCACATATGTTATGTGTTTATTACACAGAGTGCCAGTCGAAAGGAGCTCTCAAAACGACAGCTCTATAGAGGTCTAATAAAACATAACCACAGCAGCTAAAGGCGTAATTGTGAAGTCACACGTGTAGCGGTTTGATTTAAGCTTTTTTTTTTTCTCCTCCTTATTGAAGTAAACCTGGCCATTATCGTAATCTATAAATCAATATTTGTTTTAATGTGCTGGATGCGCGCTAGTGTTGGTTTCATAACAGAAAAAATTATGCCATCTGCACACTCCAATAAATATGCAGAGCCGGCCCAGAATTCATTTGTTGCAGGCCTGCGCTGTCACATGGCGAGATGTTACTATGTCCAAATCAACCGCATTATAACATCATGACTGCTTGTTAGGCAAACAGATGTAGAAAAATATATAGAGAGATAGAAAGATACAATAAATAAATAGATAGATAGATAGATAGATAGATGGATGGATGGATGGATGGATGGATGGATGGATGGATGGATGGATGGATAGATAGATAGATAGATAGATAGATAGATAGATAGATAGATAGATAGATAGATAGATAGATAGATAGATAGATAGATCCTGAGTCATGTAAATTATATCATCAAAAGACAGTTGACGTTATATGCAAATCCTGACATTTCCTGTAAAAGTCAAGAGACTGAACCCCTTTTTTTGTCCCAAGCCTCCCTATAGGTCACAGAAATTAAATGACCATTAGGAAGGCCTGAGAAGTGGCAAGGTCAGAGCTAAACTTAAAGCTCAACTCCAGGATAAAATAAACGCCCTCCTACCACTTCCTCCCAATTCCCTCTCTCCCCACTGATCTCTGGGCTGGACCCATAAAAAATGTTTCACTTACCTTATGCTGTGATCACCAAGTGCTATGGCCTTCTCCTCTCTGTTTACTTCCTGCTGGGGTCCTTCTTCCTGTTGTCCAAGTCATTGCTTGCTTGACATGGACAATTCCCATTGGCTGTCCACTGGGGGGGAGGTCCTCTCAGGATCCTGAAGACTACTGATATTGACCCCAAAGGAGTGAAGGGGACCAACCGGCAAGGGTTAGTCTCCAGCACTGGTTTAGCAGGCCCTCCTGGCGAAAACAGCATCAGCAAGGGACTTGAATGAGGGGAGAGTAACACCTGGCAGAATGGGTTGGGGAGGGGGGATGTGGAAGGGAGGGATAGTAGGGAGATTTTATTTGGCTGGAGTTGGGCTTTAATTTTTACAGGAAATATAAAAGCCCACTTCTGAGTTTCCACCCCTCTGTCCTACTTATTTGCATCCTCTTAATAAAAAAAAAAACCCTTCTGAAGTAGTTTTTTTTTTTACTTTTTAAATGTTGAAAAGTAGCCACCACTCCAAGCTCACTCCCGTGATGGACTACAATCTCAACACAACTTAGTAAAGTAAACATGAGATTGTAGTCCATCATGGGAGTGAGCTTGGAGCGGTGACTACTCTACAACACATACAGGGACCATGGAGTAGCCACCCTCCAGAAGGAAGGACAGTGTCAGCACCAATTCAGAGATGATTTGAGGATCTACAGCCGAGTGATACACATAGAAGATACATTTTTGTTCATAGTTAAGGTTCTTGGATGTATTTTTAAGATTTAACTCCTGAGTTTAGTGTCACTTTAACATGAATGAGTGACCGCTGCTACTTGTAAACAGCAAATTAGGGATCCTTGCTGCAGAAAAACACAAGTTCCTGACGCAGGAACTCCTAATCGCACCTAAACCTACTTTGTTCAGTTTAAATTGACCAGATTTGTGACAGTTCAGCCTTAACATTTTTGAGATTTGTTTTTAATAAGGCTATGCAAGAAGCAATTATCTTCTCTTACACAATATATACTGCCGGGTCAAAAAAAAAAGTCACCACCTGGATTTAATGTTATGATATCAGGTTGCTTCATTTGGTCAGGTCTAGGTTCAGCAACATTATGTGCCCAAAATTAAATCAGCTGCTTACTTGAATATACTGAATGACCAGGTATTTCCATCAGTGGATTCTTTTCTTGCCTGATGGCACATTGGACATTATCCAAGATGCCAATGCCAGGATTCATTGGGCTCAGATTGTGAAAGAGTGGATCAGGTAGCATGAGTCATCATTGTCACACATAGATTGGCCATAACAGAGTCCAGACCTTAACCCCATTGAGAATCATTGAAATGTGCTGGAGAAGACTTTACACAGAGGTCCGACTCTCCCATCATCACTACAAGACCTTGGTGAAAAATAAATGCAACTCTGGATGGAAATAAATGTTGTGACATTGCATAAGCTTATGGAAACGATGCCACGGTGAATGTGTGCCATAATCAAAGCTAAAGGCGGTCCAATTAAATATTAGATTGTGTGACTTTTTCTTGGCCAGGCAGTGTATACTACAATTATATGAATCATATACTGTATTCATTATATTGGCTTATACTGTATTCATTATAATGGCTTATACTGTCATATTATTTTGTGAATTCCCCCAGAACTGGGAATTAATCACCTTTTTTGTTTTCTTTGCAGCATTCTTTTTGCAGATGTCAAAGGATTCACCAATCTGTCCACTACCTTATCAGCGCAAGAATTGGTTCGAATGTTGAATGAACTCTTTGCGAGGTTTGATCGCCTAGCTCATGTGAGTCCAGTGATACCATCATTACTAAGTGTTCTGATCATTTAATCATTTCTTGTGTTTGCCATTATGGCCAGTCCAGATTTTAGTCTAAAAGGACTATTGTAATATATTATGTGTATGTATCTGGTGGGTGGACCAAATTAACATTTTCATTGTTTGTAATTCATTTGTGTTTCTTGGTGTTTCTTTGCTCTTTTCTTTCATATATTAACAGTTCAAACAGATACCTGGTGTACTGGTCTGAAAAAAGGACACCTGCTTTTTCAAGTTCTTATTGTATTTTGTTGTGCTGCTTTAGAATTGTATATTTTGACAATTATTGGTTCTTAAAGTAATATTGGATCTAAAAAAAATATATATATTTTTTTTAAATAATGAATCCAGATCAAACAAAGATACATTGCCCAGCAAAACATTTCTTTACATTTCTGCCCAAGCGCTTACAGACATCATGTCTCCAAACACCTCCAACTCTCTCAGCTCAGCTTCTCTGAACTTCCTGTTCAGTACAAGATCACAAGGGACAGAGCAGTCTCCAGAAGCTGTCCCTCTACTAGCGTGGAGGACAGGAAGCCCTCCAATCTAGTTTATATGAAGTTAGTTTGTTTTCTAGCCCCACTCTTCTCCTCTGGCACCGGTGCACTTTTTTAGCAGAGGATGAGGTGCATTGTAGTTCCCCTCTGATGGCAGTGGGTGGAGTGTCTGCGCTGGCACAGAGCAGATGGGATGAAAGGGTTACACCTGTTCGACGGGGCGGGTACTTTTGGATATAAGGTGCACAGAAATAGAATAGCTTCACCTCTATGATAAGGCCTAGGTGGTGAAACGCATAGGAGGAGAAGGCATGGGGAATTGTTTGGTGGTGTATATTCATGGATTTATATTGCAATCAATGCAATAAAAGCTGATTTTACGTGTATACGGGTGGAGGGCGACTGATACTTCAGGAATCTTAAAGCTCTGATTACATATGTTAGTTTAGTCCCAGGGATGTCTTCACTGGGTCTCTGTGCAATGCAGGCTGGTGGGAGGGGCCGGCAGGGTGCTATACATAGCTTTCTAAAAAGATCCCATCACCTTCCCTCAGCACGTGTATCTTCTCTGCCAACATGGAGCTACACATCTTTACACCATTCACCGGGCCAGTGATAGATCCTCAATGACCAATAGAGACTCTAACACTGGATTGAAAAGTATTGGAAGACTTAAAGTTGAACTCAAGTTGCACAGCCAAATACATAAACATAATACATATATGGGACCTTGTTTACCTGCCAAGGGATATGCATATCTGTCCTCCCAGTTCTGAGATTTATACATCTTTGTCCAACAGCACAGTCCTGTCTGGCAGGAGAGGAGACTTAATTTTTCTCTGATTCAGTTCAGTAACACTTACAAATCTTGTCCCGCCCCCAGCCTGTGATTGGACAGTGAAAGGAGAAGCAGCAGACTGACGGGCTCATCTCTCTGTCCCTCTGTTCTCTCTCATGCTCATTGTTGGCACGTTCACGCAGCAGCACATCTGAATTGCTCCTTGTGCTGCCTCCCCCTCTTCCAGTCTACTTCTGCCGTAAGATAACTAATGCCGTGTCAAATTCAGGTACAGGCAGTCCACGAGTTACAAACATCCGACTTACATACCACCCCTACTTACAATACTGTACAGCACGGGGTCCCAGGCTGCAGCCAAAGTGTACCGCACAGCATTTCAGTAGCTGTAATGCTACCGCGCTTGTGCCGATGAGGAGTGGCCGCCTTTTTGGGTCTGGTTCGTAGTACTGTACGTACATTACAGGAAGTTGGCTCTTGTTAGACATGCAGATGAGGGGTGCCTGTCTCTTCTTCCGGGTCACTGTGACGTTTATACTGCTGTCTGTATCCTCATTAGAAAAATGTAATCTCACTTCCTGTCCTTGAGACAACAGGAAGTGAGAGGAAATCTACCCCTAGGAAGGGCAATTCCCTCCTGTAAGAGTTATCATGGGGAAAAGGTGTTTCCACTGAAGCTTTATCACCAATTCTTGTTTCCACAACAACCCAAAACTTTCTAAATCCAATTGTCACAGGGACAGTAAAGTGGGGTGACATTTTCTGAACAGGGGCACACACAGCAAAACAAATGTTACAGGGGGTAACCTATGCTATCCAAAACTAAAAAACATTTTGGGGCTGGAGTTACACTTAAAAAATTTACCTGTTCCGACTTACATACAAATTCAACTTAAGAACAAACCTACAGACCCTATCTTGTTTGTAACACGGGACTGCCTGTACTTACACTGCTTGCATTTATAAAAATAAATTTAATGATGTATTCATGATTACACGTCTGCATTCATTTGTGCCTTTTATATTTTCCTGGAGATCAGCTGCCTTTAACCCCTTCATGACTGAGGCCCTTTTTTCATTTTTTGCACTCATGTTATATTCCACATTTTAGGCCTGAAAATGACTTAAAACCCCCCAACATTATATATTTTCTGAATGCCAAAAGGGGTTAAATCTGAACAAGGGGCAGTAAGGTGAAGAAATGTTCATTTGTCAAGTCTTTGCCGTGTGTCACCAATACAATGCCGTGGCAGCCTGTCTTCCCGTGACACCCTAGACAGGGCAGCCGCTCATTAAACAGATGACTGACTTGTTTTGTGATATGGTCATTTGACTCTGTTGTGCATTATACATCATTATGCTAGTTGGGGGAGACCAGCTGCATTGCACCTCGCGCTCGCCAAGCTCCAAAGAAAATGACAGATCCCTTTCCTGGATCGCGTCCCTCTCCACCAGCCATTATCAGGGTTGCTGCAATAACAAAATCACTGACAGAGGGTAGCGTGGAGTCACATTCAGCTGGGATGGTCCTGTAATGTTGAAGACATTTCATCCAAGGGGCTTCCTCAGTTCTATAGAATAGTGGGAACAGACCCCAGCATTGCGAGATACGCACGTCACCTTAAAGCGGAAGTAAAAATTGCTGGGAGATCAGGGTTTTTGACAGACGAGACGTGCAAAGTCTCTTCTGCCCACAAAAAATTCTTCCTCTCTCCTCCAGTGACTCCTCTGTGTACACTATACAGTGCATGCACCATGCAGTGTTCACGCTCAGCTCATTCATGGCATCTCTAAGATGTGCGAGGTGCAGGGAGGGTGTAGCTCCTGTGTGTATGCGTAGGAGTTGCATCATCAGTGGCCACCCAATGGCTGAAGAGGATTCCCACAGAATCCGTAAGATAGATAGAAAGCAGATATGTAAGCTGCGGAAAAATTTGGTTCAGATATTTCGGGATTTGGATCTGAAATTCAATTTGGTTTGGGTTATGGATTCGGACGAAATCCCAATTGTCGTTAGTTTTGGATGAGTTTACGAATATTCGCTGCGAGTACCACAGAAAACCATATACAGATATTAATACTAAAGCTGAATCACACCATTTTGTCTGCAATGACAGATGGCCGAGAATTCATTTATGCTCAGCATGTGAAAGAAAAATAAATCGACCTACTCTGCATTGCCGTGCTATTGATCTAATTCAGGTAATCATTTGTAAGCATTTAAGAATAATGTTAAGCACTGAGGTATCTCATATATAACTTCCACATAGATCTCTCTCTCTCTCCCCATCTATCTCTTCATCAGGTTCCAGAATTTCTGAATTGCATTGGGGAGCTACTAAATGGCATTCGGTTCTGAGAGCCTCAGCTTTAGTAATATATGTATGTGGCTTCCAGACCCGAATGGCTTTTGGGAGCTCCCAAATGCAATTTGGAAATTCGGATCTCGAATGCCATTCGGATCTGTGTGTCATATACATATATTACTAAAGCTGAGGCTCCCAGACCCCAATGGCATTCGAGATCTAAATTTCCAATTTGCATTCATGAGTACCCGAAAGCCATTCGGGTCTGGGAGCCACATGCATATATTACTAAAGCTGAGGCTCCCAGACCCAAATGCCATTTAGGAGCTCCCCAATGCAATTCGGAAATTCGGATCCCGATGAAGAGATAGATGGGGAGAGAGAGATATCTATGTGGAAGTTATATATGAGATACATAAGTGCTTAACATTATTCTTTAAATGCTTACAAATGATTTCCTGAATTAGATCTATAGCACGTGAATGCCGAGAAGGTCGATTTCTTTTTCTTTCACATGCTGAGCATAAATGAATGCTCGGCCATCTGTCATTGCTGACAAATTGGTGTGTAACCCTTTGTAACATGAGACTGTCATACAATACAATGGACAAGCAGCCAGTAACACAATTACCTGTACAACATATGAGGAGAAGCACTTAGAGATGCATGGCAGAGTACCTATTCTCCCGGGATCTCAGAACCGAATGCTATGACATGTCACAAGACTTGTGAAACACGGAGAGTTTTCCTTCTTTTCATCATTTTACTCCTTTTATTATTTCTCCTTTTTTTTCTTTTTTTTAAAAATATGTCTCTTACTGGGCTTTCTATGGGAAAGGTTGGCCATTAGAGACAAGTAGATAATGAAAGATCAAATAGGTCCTACTCCACCAACACTTCAGTATTTCAACATGAAGTTCAGTCTCATTTAATAAAGAGAGACCCTTTTACCTTCCTTATGAGTATCCACAGTATAAGGAATAGACCCAGGAGCAGATGAGCATCATTGTCCACTGTCCTGGGCTGATGAGATACTGGGCTGAGCAGTCTTTATCTCTCTACTGCCCATGTTCTTGCCACGCATCTGCCTGGCCAAATGACTTGCTAAACTATTGCAGACTTGCCGAGCTTCACAATTTTGTTGCACAATTACAGCAAGTCTGCATGGCAAGTCTCCAGACCAGCGAGCTTGCAGAGCTCTTGCTAAGACCTGCAGGACACTTGCTGTAGACTTGCCAAGCAAATTTGCTACAAATTCAAAAAGTGTCAACTAGAACTTGTGCTGCAAGTGTTCTGCAAGTCTACAACTTGCCAGGAATGTGTACAGCAAGTTAACAAGAATTACAATTTAACCCCTTACACAGG